GCGAACACGCTACCACAAGACCATCGAGGCGGTTCTCTCGGCTAGGGCAAGTGTTTTACATATATTCAGTCTTTCCCATGCTTCCGACATAATGATTCAAGTGCATGACTCAGTCTTCATGAAATATTAAGCGCTGTAAATAATTTAATAATCTAACATGCACAATTCCAAAAGAAAGCTTTCCTTCTTAAAAATAACATAGTTCACAGTCTATTTTGATAAGTAAACTTATTTGTTTTTTATTTCTCATCGGATAAATGGGGTTCTCATTTCTCAAAAACTCTGAAATTAATTGCTGTCTCTATCTTGAAAATTTTAATACAGTTGAAGGCGGGTTAATAAGATTTTAACTCTTGAAAAGCAAAATAGCTTTGGTAGCGGATGTTTTCACGAGATATGTATGACAAAACTTAAATCTATGTGATGACGAAATCTTGACCATGCCAAAAATATACGCAACTTGGAATAATTGACAAATATGCTACATAGATATAAGAAGATGTGGTTTGAGTGCCAATGAGACAACTCTCCATCCTAGTCAAAATTTATAAAAGTAAACCATTATAGGTCACAGTACGGTCTTCAACACGGAGCCTTGGCTCACACCGAACAGCAAGCTATAAAGGGCCTCAAAAATTACTACAATTACGGAATAGGAAATAATAGGCAAAGCAAAAAAAGAACTCTTACAAAAACTGTTATAAAAGGCCCGACGTAAAGACTTAAGTATTACAATACTGACATACAACAAACACAGGGCAAAAACAGAGATTACATAATTATATGATTTAAGTAACTATTCAGTTTTCTGTGTCAAAAATATAATCAGTCATCTTAAAAGTCTCCATTTTTTTAAACAAATAGTTAAACATCTGAATTTTATCTGTTTAAAAAGTGCAATTTTCGGACAATTCGTACAGAAGTCGATCAAAATTAACGAAAAAAACAATGTCGCGTAATATTACCATTTCAAAACCGAACACCGCGCGTAATGTCAATGCATCTTTATCCATTGAACATCAATCTCAGTGATAAAATGCAATAATTTCTTAATTTACTGCAAGTACTGCAGTGAGAAACCAGAATATAGATATCAGAAGATTTGGGGGGGTAAACATCAATGAGAAAGCAACCCAACGACATAATCAATGAACAGACATCATAAGGGCAATAATGGAAATGTGTCAATGCAATATGTTATGCTATTCAACGACCAAAGTCTATAGCATTTGCGAATAAATACACAAACAATCCAAGATCTGACATTAAGAACTACATTGTAGGTCTCTCAATAGCAATAAACAAAGTTTAGACACAAGCCAGCAATTGAGGAGGCCCCTGACTTGGTAAAGGGCATGGTTATTTGGCGGGGTTGAGCTTTTTTTAGTGCTCGCCATTAAAATGTTTTGAGAACTTCCCCCACATTTAACCTAGCTTGTATTACCATAAACTTTGGATTTCTGTGAGAAAAAAAAATGTTTATCAAAATATTCGACTTAAGCCAGTGTTTTAAATTCTATGCTGTATTTTGTAACAGACATTTGTGGTGTTAACTTCTATAGACTACAATTGTTGTAAATCTAGTGTCTGGTTCCATGCGGGAATACTTTGCCAAAGAGCAGTACAAAACCGATGGTAACAGTATAAGGACCGGCAAAACCATAACCAAAAGAAGAGAAAGAACAAAACAGTAGAAAACTTCAAACTTAGCAACACTGACCGACACAAAAACTAAGGATAAACTCGAGGGATCTGCTCCACTATAGAAGCCGTAATCAAGACAATCTCGACGTTTTATTGGGCTACTTCAAGTATTATGGTTTGGTTGCTATTGTAGACAGGTCTTTTTCCCTTCAAAATGACAGTCTTATAATCTATGACCTGGGAGCTATAATAACTATTTATTTAATTTTTTTTTCATTTTTTATTTGCTGTTTTTGCAATCCGAAAATTAATTCCAAAAATTATTTCTAGCTTCAAAAAAAAAAAGAAGAAGAAAATCAGCATGAAAACGTTAAAAGCGGAAACTGAATTCGAAATCGTTTTTATAGGAATAATTAACTTAAATATTTACAATGGAAAGATTGTTGTTTTACTTTTGAAATGACTGGTTGTAGTGCTTAGATAACAAATGTGCAGGGAGAAATAGCACATGCGAACTGCTCCGTCTATCACAGCAAAAATACTTAAAATTCAGACAAAATAGCAAATGAAATTTTTGACACTTGGTCAGCACCTCAAAAGAAACATTCATACCATGTTGGTTTCAATGTGGAGCAGGATCTGCTTACCCAGTTTTTGGTGGGGTTCGTGTTGTTTAGTCTTTAGTTTTCTATGGTGTGTCTTGTGTACCATTATTTGTCTGTTTGTCTTTTTCTTTTTTAGCCATGGCGTTGTCAGTTTATTTTTTTATCTGTGAGTTTGAATGTCCCTCTGGTATCTTTCGCCCTTCTTTTTCAATCCATTAGGCGGTTTTCTAGAAGAAAACATTTGTATATATTTCCCATAGGGTCCTTTGTTAAACTAAGTCCCCCGTTGGCAGCCATCTTGGTTGATGGATCTGCTACAAAGTACCAACACTTGGTCAGCACCGCATAAGGAACATTCATGCCATGTTTGGTTTCATTTCATTTAGTGGTTCTTCAAAAGAGGACTTTTGTATGTATTTCACAACGGGTCCTTTGTTAAACTAAGTTCCCCGCTGGCAGCCATCTTGGATGATTGATCGACTACAAAGTTACAACATTTGGTCAGCACCTCATTAGGAACATTCATGCCATGTTTTATTTCATTCCATTTAGTGGTTCTCTAAAAGAAGACATTTGTATGTATTTCCCATAAGGTCCTATGTTAAACTAAGTCCCTCTCTGGCGGCCATCTTGGATGATGGATCAGCTTCAAAGTAACAACACTTGGTCAGCACCTCATAAGGAACATTCGTTCCATTCAGTGGTTCTCTAAAAGAAGACATTTGTATGTATTGTCCATAGGGTCCTATGTTAAAAGAAGTCCCCCGATGGCGGCCATCTTTGATGATGGATCAGCTACAAAGTAACAACACTTGGTCAACACCTCATAAGAAATATTCATGCAATGTTTGGTTTCATTCCATTTAGTGGTTCTCTAGAAGAAGTTCAAAATGTAAAAAGTTAACGACGATGACGACGACGGACGACGGACGCCAAGTGATGAGAAAAGCTCACTTTGCCCTTCGGGCCAGGTGAGCTTAGAAGATATAATTCGACATTTATGGGCAATAACTCCTATAAGAAGTCGTCTGACAGTTTTGACGTAAATAGACAGCAGATAGATCTCATCATTCAGAACATTTTTGTCCATGTCAGATTTTCTCTTTTCATAACGGTTTTTAAGATAATAGACAAACTATCATTTTACCAATATGTTCTATTCTTACATGTAGCAATGTCGGCCATCTTGGTTGGCAGGCAGGATCATCGGAAGCCTTTTTTTTAACTAGATACCCTAATGATGATTGTGACCAAGTTTGGTTAAATTTGGCCCATGGAGAAGATTTTTGTAAAAGTTAACGACGACGGACGACGACAGACGGACGGCGACGCCAACGGACTACGGGCGCCAAGTCATCAGCCAGATGAGCTTAAATACTATCAAATATTTTCAAGAAAATATCCCATAACAATTAACGATTTCCATTACTTTATTTTCTAGATCTTATCTTGCTGTTACTGCTACTCTCTATACATAAAAGTGTTCATGATAATTTCTAAAAGGCTAAAATTCGTGAAAAGTAACCATTCAGAGACAGTATTTCTTATAATAAGTGGATGCGAACGTTCAGTTATGTTCACCTATTTGTAAATTTTATCTTGCTGATCATTTAAGTTGTTCACATTTTCTCTCTATTTTTCTCTCTATTAAAATTTCCGAGATAATAGCCACACAAAAAAAGGCACAAATACGGGTAAAATTGGCCGTCGATTTCGTTTACTTTGACTTATTTATGAATTTTATTTTGCTGCTTATATTTGTTTGTGAACGTCCGTCTCTCTTGGTCTTAGGAAAATAGCAAAAAAAAAAAAAAAAAAAAAAAAAAAAAACCCGCAAAGAGGGTGAAAATTGTCAATGGATGATAATATGAGTCAATTTTCGATTTCGGTTTTTTATTGCTGCTTAAGTTTTCTTTCTACATATATTATATGTACTATAGTTTTTACCAAAAACACAAAAACTGGTAATAATAGACACTGAAGGACAGAAACGTCTGATTTTCGTCACGTTCACATGGCTTATTGTTTAAATTTTCTATCTATTTGTTATAATGTTAAAAATGCTAGCCAAAATTAATATCCCAAAGAAAAATGTGAAATATCATGTAAGGGCAATAACTCGTATAATGCGTGGTGACGATTCGAATGGATAAAAATCTTCTTTGAAGGGAAATAACTCCCTAAAGGATTCAAATAACGATTTAAACCCTTTTTTAACTCTGCTATAATTCAGTAGTTTTAGAGAATAATTTAGCAAAGTTAACTTACGATGGCCGACGAAGACGGACGCTCAGTGATACCATAATCTCACATGACCTCTTAATGTGAGCTGTTAGAAAGAAATATATTTTTTGAAATCAATTTATAAGCATGACTAGAAATATAGATCAATTTCAAAAACTAAAGCATAGAGAATAATGGGTGTTAAAATATAAAAGTAGACAATAGTGGGCAAAAAGTATAAAAATAGAGAATAGTGTGGGCAAAAGGTATAAAACTACAGAATAGTGGGCAAAAAGTATAAAAATACAGAATGGTGGGCAAAAAGTATAAGAATAGAGAATACTGGGCAAAATAGACAAAGAATGGAGAACAATGGCTTTGAGAATTAAAGAATACAGAAATGAAGGACCGCACAACCAGACCCTCGTACACAATTATACTTTCCATGTTGGAACAGTCAGTAATGCTTACTTTTATTGGTTTTGTATGAATCATTGGCCATGTATTGTAAATTATCAATATAAATCATTGAATCTGAAAGAATTTTAATAAATATCTGACATCTTTTATTTTATTTATATTTTATAATTTTTATAGTTTATAACCGATGAAAGTTGACCAACCATCATTATACATGTACTGTCCGTCATATCCATTGACACAGGCAACACCATGCCGAAATGTAAAAGGAATACAATTATGGATGATTCTATAGTAATAAACCAACTACAGGTGACTTACAACAAGTGACTATAATCATCATTTTCTGTAACAAAATCAACAACAAAAAAAAAAAAAACAAGGAAAAAAGTACATGTTTTTTTGTTTTTAAATAAGAATATATATATCATGAAAAAACAACACTTAAAACCTTTCGTGCATCCGAACCGTTTTTCTGGATTAACCTTCATCATGAACGCTTAAACCAGAAAATTTGAAAGTCAGGCTTCAATGACATATTTGTTAGAATCCGATCAAATCCATCGATTAATTCATCATTTTTACATCGCGATGACCGTGAGGGCATTCCGATGTATTGCTATCGCCTAGATTTCCATTACGTAACTTTCGTTTTGGGTTTGTAACCGATCTATAAACATGATAAATACGCAGACATTAAGGAGTGCAAAAGTAACATTCCTTATCGTTTGTTATAAATACATCTCTTCAATGAATACTGATAAAAATATTTTTGTTTTGAACATAAATTAATAAAAGGAAAATGTTTTGTCGTTAGATATATATGTATAAGTAAAAAATCATTGATAATATCTATGCACACGTACCGAAAAATTGTGTTAACGCATTCGGAAGAATATCTCAAGAACGTTTTGCGGCAATCCCCGCAAGGACCGGTAACTCTGCATGGAAGTTTGTTTTTGCGGGAAAATATGAATGCCTACTCATATCCGATCTTTTAGAAAAATCGAATTTTTACAGAAGAGTGTCCACCATGCACTTGCACTGCACTATTATTAGAATAGTTGAATAGAATGATGTACAAATGGATGAAAATTATATATACATGTAACTGTTATATTAATATAATATATAACAACAAACCAGTGTAACTGTTATATTAATATAATATATAACAACAAACCAGTGTATACTGATTTGTATCACTACAATATAATAGTTATAACGGTGAGGTTGAATTTCCTGTCATTTATTCATCATCTACCCACGAACTTGTCTCAGAAAAAAATATATCTCTGTACATTAACCTCAGTTTCAGGTATAGAGATGTGATTTTTTCTGAGACAAGTGCTTTTGACCATCCACAAGAACTTGCGGTCATCCGATGTTCAGTACTTCAGTACTTTGATAACAGTAACGTAAGAAGCGATCTGTAAAAAATACAATTAAAACAAAATGTTGTGAATATGATTAGAATTAGTTTGTATCTAATATTATAGAATGAAAGATTTATTTCACTTTAATAATAGTCAAACATGAATATCCACCATACACTGGCATTTTACTGGTACCTGCTTTGATATTTAATTTATCGTTTGTATTCAATTGAACAGCCATAATTCCTGTTCCTGTATGATACTTGTTATTATCACCTGTAGATTGTAAGACTGGGTTGACATGTACATAGCTTAACAAACGTCCATTCTTTCTAATTTGAAATTGAGCGTAATTGGAATAAGACATAATATACACCCCAACCAAATAAAGTCCTGGCTTTTCGCAAGTAAATGTCCCTGAAGATTTGAAATTATCCACATTTCCAATTCCATTTGACAGTTTCACTTCACTGAATTTTATTATCTCACCAGAACCATATGTAATGGTACTAGGAGCACACGATGTTACTGCAACTGAAATGGAAAAAAAAATGTTTGAATAGACAGTAACTATCTGTACGCGCGCATACGTGTATACGAATATAACAGGCAAACGACAACTCTATTACTGTTCTTTTTCTTTGTGATATTTGGTCGATCTTCTAACAACGTTATATTAATGAACATACCCACAAATTTTATGAAATGTTCGAGGGATAAATCATAATCAGTTGCGAATCCAGGAGTTTGAAAAGGAGGCACAAAAGCAACTTGTAGGACTCATAAAAAGTATATGGATTAACCATAAATGTAGCTCCCTAGATCTGCTTCTGATAAGACACTACGAAGCAATTCATAATATGTAATGCTTCAATGCAGGAAGAGGCATATTATATAATTAAATGTCTTTGATAAAGGATAAGTGACGAACTCGGGAAATTAATGTATGCAAAATGTCATTTTTTGTCCAGCTTCTTTTTTCTAATCCTTAATCAATTTAATGATATAAATGCATAATCAATACTGAAAAATACTTTTAAGGTTGTAAACCTTATTCTTGTCATTGATAAAGATTAAAGGTACATTAGCTGTCAAATTCATGTTCACCAATTTGACTCAAATTCTCATATTTGATTTATAATATACTAAAACGTATATCCAAATTACAATAAGTCTGAAATAAACAATTAGCAATGCATGGACTTGATAATATATGTCAGCATTTCGTGTTTATTTCAGTCTGGACGCCATCTAATTAACCTCTGAGATGACCTACGGAGACTGTCGACGGTCAAATATCCCGATATAAACATACACATAAATATAAATAGATAGCGACCTCGTGCAATTGGACTTTTCTAGGTCTGTTTGATTTAATGGCATAGGTTAAAAAATATTTTAATCATCGATTTAGTATGTATAAGAATGATATTTTGTGGATCGAATCAGTCAACGAAATGGTTCACCTTTGTTTCACTTTCAATGTTGACATTCTTTTTCTTTTAATGGCTGAACACTAATAATACATGCGTAACCAATCTCTAGCTAATGGGTTAAGTTGAAGGTCACATGAATACGGATTCAATGAGATAGAATTATTCACTTGCAAGTGAATAATTCATCAGCGATATTTCTTAGCGTATTTTGACAAAACTGAACTAAACTGGTTGCTAAAAGCGAATTATTATTTCACTATTTCACTTTCATTAATGATTGAACAAAAAAAAATCATATTTTAATTATTTTTTTTTATATCTCGTAGCTAATGCCCCTTTAAGGTTTTATCCCTACGTTAACCTTTAAAGTCATGTATGTGGAGGATATAAAGATTTGGTGACCAGTAATTACGACAGGCGCTTGTGGAAATGTAGCCCTCATTTTATATATGTGTTTGTGTGTATTTATTTTTTAGTACATTTTCTTCAATATTTTAAGTTATAGATTTAATTATATTGCTCTGATCCATACGATATTATAATATAGGTAGTTTATATATAACGCTCCTCTGTTCTTGATAAGAGCAAGGCCACATTAAATAAGTGAAAATAAGTTCAAATATGAAAGAATGTTTACTAAAAAAAATTGAAACAAATAAAATATATGGAAACAGGGGAGGGGTACCATTTCCCAATCGCCTGTGATATTTGCAATAGGTGTTCAATTTATACAAATGCCGATTTTGTAATTTCTGAGAGTTGTATACTACTCAGAGAAAGACCGATATAGCTTAGGTGCAGCGTGCAACACTTTTCAGATCACGTGGTACGTTTTTAGCGCCCCTTATCAATTTTAAATATGGAAAAAGATCGATTTATTGATGTTTGAATTTTAAATGTACTCTTTTGCATGTATGGAAAATATAGCAAGTTTTCACATAGAAATATCATCATGTATCGACGTTCGATGATCAGCGTATGACGTGTGCATAATGTCGTCCTGCTTCTGGATACTACTACTAGCATATTAATTCAATTCCGTCATACATGTATGTTTCGAATTTGTATGAAATCATTGTATGAAAATAACCCAGGAATATATAATTATTAACAGTAACATCTAATAAATAAAGACTATTTTTAAGCAGTTTACGTGTACTTCGTGCAAAATCTAAGGTTTTAAAAAATTTGCAAATTTATTAATTTGAAACGCAAATCAAAGAATTCAACTTTATAAATAACTTATATAGGACAATGGTGTTGATTAAAAATTACACAATACCAGGCCCTTTTGTTTTCCACATAATTAATATTACCAATAATTAACAAGTTCCGGGTCAAATTCGATACCCTGTTACCTGTTACCGAATCTGTACGTTCCGCCTCTGTCAGGCGCACCACCAAACGGTGTAATTGGTATTTGCTATATACACGGGTCATAATCACACCTGAACTTCGTCATCATACAGGGATTGACACTACTTAATTCAATCATTGAACAAACAAATATATCTACAAGTAGTTTCCGGTTGTAGTAATTAGAAAACCAGGACGGATCCAAACAGAAAGAATTTGAAAGCAGAGAAAACTGTCCACCTTATAATCAGCATGACTTTATCAAATGGCAATACGAATACTAAAAATCCAGGCTGAAAATAAGGCGTAGGTACTTTAATTCAGTCACAGACCCGCAATGTCGCAGGTGTGTTCTAGTAATAATATACATGTGTAAGAATTGAATGCTATGATTGATTTAGCCGTATGTCAAAATGCTATAGTCATTACTCGGAGTACAAAATGTGTACTAGCATTTTGCTTGGTTGAATTCTGATTCTAATATAAAAATAAGAAGATGTGGTATGATTGCCAATGAGAAAACTCTCCACCAGAGACCAAATGACACAGAAATTAACAACTATAGGTCACCGTACGGCCTTCAACAATGAGTAAAACCCATACCGCATAGTCAGCTATAAAAGGCCCCGAAATGACAAATGTAAAACAATTCAAATGAGAAAACTAACGGCCTGATTTGTGTACAAAATAATGAACGAAAAACAAATATGATATACAGCAACAAATGACAACCACTGAATTACAGGCTCTGACTTGGGACCTGGCACATACAGAATGAGGCGGGGTTAAACTAGTTTGAAGGCGCGCCAACCCTCCCCCTAACCTGAAACAGTGGTGTAACAGTACAACATAAGAACAAACTATAAACATCAGTTGAAAAGGGCTTAACTGTTGCCTTTATTTAACTCATCAGATACAAAGCAGAAATACATCTAACAAAAACACAGAATGGACGATGCAGGGTACTTATACATTCCAACAACAAAAAGACACTAAGTACAGATCTGAGAATACTCGCAGTTACTGACAGCTAATTCAAAGCTAATAACAACTAATAAAAAAAATCATGCCTCTAAGACTAAAATATCAATCAGTACACGTCCAGCATCCAATGGATTTAGTGTAAAGACGTCATAAACAGTCAGAGAAAAACATGACCTTGTGCAATGCCAAGATACAGGTATCCACAGATTGTAGAGCCATGAACGTGTTTATGTATATAAAAATAATATTTAGTTTGATTTTAATTTACTGATAACAAAATCAATATTAATACCAATAAAAACAATATTCAAAGATCTAATTATAGTGTTGAATTGGTAACCTTTTAGAATAAGTTAATTTAAAGGATCGATAAGTTTATCCGGATCGTATCTTAATTTCAGGCCTCGGTAAACAACATCTCCGTAAAAATTAGGATGTGCTATTCCGTTAAAAATAAGTTTTCTACAGGTACAACCAAACTTCAAAACCAAATCTTTATATTTATGGATGAATTTAGTAAAGGTTTTAAGTAATTTGTGGTAACGAAATCCCTGACTTAATAATTTACCAGTAATACATAGATTACGTTCATTGAAATCCAGAACGTCACAACAGACACGCGCGCGGGCATAGCGAACGAGTTGTGATATATAAATACCGTAAGATGGTGCCAAAGGAACATCCCCGTCAAAAAAAGGAAAATTAGCGATAGGGAAGGAAAAAATCGTCCCTTTTGTCGTAAATTTTAGTCTTTCCCGTGTAAAACTGAAATATCTAAATCTAGGAAAGGACAGTTATTACCGTTTATATTTGATGTATTTAAAGTAAGTTCCTTTGGGTAAATTTCGGCAGTATATTTAGAAAATTCTTGATTATTTAACGAAAAAATATCATCAAGATAACGATAAGTGTTGTTGAATTTATCAATTAAATGCAATTTAGACGGTTCCTTACTACTGAGTTTGGCCATAAACTGTGATTCATAACAGTACAAGAACAAGTCTGCTATTAAAGGGGCGCAATTGGTGCCCATAGGAATACCTACTGCCTGTCGATAACCTTTATTGCCGAAACGTACATAGATATTATCAAGGAGAACATTAACAGCATCAATCATCTCCTCACACCTCCAGTAAGTACATCTAGCATATTTACCTTTCTAATTAGAGAAGAAGGCTTTAAATGAGTGGTGCAGCAAATATATTTGCATTCAGATTTACCAAACGACCATTTAATTTAATAGGAAAACTTCTGTTTGAAAGATTATGTGGAAGTGTAGTGTAAAGAGTTGAAAAGTCAAAACTTTCAACCGAATCTAAAGAACCATCAAAGGCACGTAATTTATCTCAAACATCCAAAGAATTTTTTACACTCCAAAAATAGTTAATTCCACTATTTTCATATGTTTTATTACAAAGGTTAATGATAAGTTCTTTGATAGTAGTCAAGGAACTAGTTAAAAGCACTGAAAAATTAGTTGTAGAGCACTTACTAGAGGCCGAGATGAAACGATATTTTACTGGTTTTTTGTGTAGTTTAGGTAACCAATACATAATTGGGACCTTCAAATGTTCAGAAGATGCCTTAAGCTGTGATGTGGTTGTGATATGATTGTTTACTATTTGACTATCAGTGGAGTGGACGGAACTGAATGTATAAGAATTTAAAATTTCATTCTTAAGAACGTCCGTGTAGTATTTACGGCATACCACCACCACATTGTTGGTTGCTTTGTCGGCCGGTACAAACACAAACCGC